GTAAGCTTTTAAATTTTAGTCAGAGTTCATAGGATACGTTAAGTGGTATAATTACCAACTGTTATGTACAATGCTGCTTAAAAAAGAGAGGTTATTTTTCCTTAACATTCAGTCTGTAAACAATTCAATCTGGAAATAGGTTATAACTGAACTATCTGTATTTAGTTCTAGCGACTGCTCAAAAGAATAAGTATTATTTCTAAGAAGATATCAAAAGGAAGTACTAATTTAGTTTTCTAGAAATAATTATGATTATTTGATATACTTGAAGAACTAATTGGTAATGTGGACTCAAGCCTACTTGATTTCACATTTTTAAATTAAAACAACTTTATAATGGGGTGGAAAAACACTGGCTTATCTTAGAAGCATTATAAACTTGTCTAAATACCCTTTTCAAAGCTCTGACGTGGAACTTGGATCCTGTTGGGCAGGCTTTTCTGTGGGCATATTAATTCACATTCCACCTGTCAGTGTACCTATAGGTAAAGATATTAAACCACACCCTCTGTTCTGACCTGTTCTTCCGGGGACAGCCTAGAATCTTTTAGCTCAGCATGAGAGGCTATTTGAATAGCTCAGTTCAGAGGAGCTTTTACTTTTCAATTGTGGGAAGCAGCAAGAACGAGGGAAATAATGTTGCAACTACATTTCTCAAGACTGCTACTATGGAGATTTAAAACTTGACCTTCCCTGCCAGGTTCTGCTTGGAAGGCTTACTTATTTCCACAGACATATTTGATACGTATTGAAAGCAGTTTTATTGCTCAGCTAATTAGATATTTATATTTTCATTCTTCCATTCTTCAAGTATTTAATTTTTCTAGTTTAAAAGATGTTTTCTTGCTTGTATTTTTGGCTATTTGTTTTTGTTCTGTTTTTTTGATGAAGACTGATGGAGATGTAGCTTCTTTTTTAGATTTGTGGGGTTTTTTCTTTTGTTGTTCAGTGGTATGAATTAATTCTGTAGTGTTTACTTGATAGTGCTGCAAAGAAAATTTCATACTGCTATGGTATATCTTGATAAATTAAAAAGAACTTTTTAATGTAGTGGAAAACTGGTAAAGCAAATGAGGAAAATTGGCAGCTGCATCTTCTAGAATGGATTCTTACGGGACCTATTTGGCAACTGTCAAACTCAGTGGCTCATGGTTGGAAGAACAAGATGAAGACATTTATGAGGTTGAATCTCGCGTGCCTTTACCACATCCTTTTCCTCTGTGTGAACATTTGGATGAAAATAACTCAGTAATTATTAATACTTCTATTTTTCATTTTATTCATAAAAGAAATGGGCACATATTAAAGCTTCTTTCTAAAATTTCACTGCCTACCCCTCCTTATTCAGTAAGTATAAAAAATCTGGTTTTTTATACTTTTAGTTTTAGGTTATACTTTTAGTTTTTTATACATTTAGTTTAAAAAACTATATAACGAGAAATCAACTTTAAATGTCTTTCTTAGGGGTAAATGGAATAGAACCTTTTGTTGTTGTTGTTTGTTGTATTACTACTCATTCAGCCTGGATGTATTGAAGGACTAAATTTGGTCTAAGAGCCCCAACTTGGCTATCTTTTTAATTCTAGAAAGCAAAATGAGATAATATTGCAGTTCTGTCATGCCAGGCAGGCTGTTTTACAAGATCCTGCTTGTTCTTAAGAATCTTGCTTTTATATGTTTATGATGCCAATCCTGAGGAAAAATGGAATGATTATATTTAAGGGATTAGGCATTGTGATACCTAAAACAGCTAAATGAATTGTCAGTGAGCCAATTAGGAAATGTTTACAATCATATGGCATATTGGCTGTAGTTCTAGACAAGGAAATAGGAAACCAGGATTCTAATTTTAATTTTCTTGCTGACTCCCTAAGGAACTTACCTTCAGTGTTTTTAATATGCTTACTACTCCTGTGAGGAATACATTTTGCTGCTTTTTATGTGAAATGTATTTTATAAACATTGTTAAGGGTAAGTATACTGCATAGTTAGTATTTCAGGTCCATTTGACACTTAAATATGTTGTGAATGATTCACTACAAGTTATTCAGTGTAACTACAAGTTATTCAGCATTTTTTATGACTTTTATGGCTTTAACTATAATATACTAGCTAATATTTAACAAGCCAGATGGTTTTCAGAATAGTTTAGTTACCTCCCCGGAGACTTTTATATTAAAGTGATAGAATATTTACTGCTGCTTTACACATACTTTAATGATAAGTTTCTTAAATTATTGAAAATATTGAACATGAAGTTTTTATATATTTCATATTATTAGGTATTAGATATGGGTATTATGTGGGTATTAGGAATAAATCATACCTTTACTGGATGAGAGAAATTTTTTAAATATAAAGTATTTAGATGAGCATTTGAAGGGAGTCTCTTATTCCAATAAAGTGTAGGTGCCATCTACTATAATAAATGAAATTTGTTTGCTAGATTTATTGTATTTGACTCTTCTAACTTTTTTGTTAAGTTTTATAAAACTGAAGATATTTCTTATGGTTTTATGGTAAATATTTAAATGCACTTTAAGACTGGTTTAGATCTTGTTAAGTAGAATATAGAAGCAAAGACTTACTTAATTTTCTTATGTAAAGCAAGTATTTATTTTGTTGTGAATGCTTTGTTGTACAGTAAATGTGGAAAAGGAAAAAAAAACTCATATCCTTTTTAGTTAGAGCTTTGAACTTGTTTAGAGATTTCGTGTATTTACCAGGCAACTATTTTATAATGTACAGAAAAAAATTACATATGTACATGTAGAAGCAATTGACATATTTTTAAAATACAGGCTCTGTAAATTCAGAAGAGTAGATGTGTATGAATTAGTTCATATTTTACAGTCATGTTTCTTTATAATAAAAATTTGTTAGTTATCCACATTTAAAGGAAAATACTCTTTTTTGCCTGTCAAAAGTAAAAATATATAGAGAGTTTTATCTTTTTTGAGGTAACAACATATTATCACAGATATTTTAGGAACTGTTTTATGATTTAAAATGTATGCCTAGGGGCCGGCCCTGTGGCTTAGCGATTGAGTGCGCGCCCTCCGCTGCTGGCGGTCCGGGTTCGGATCCCTGGCGCGCACCGACGCACCACTTCTCCGGCCATGCTGAGGCCGCGTCCCACATACAGCAAGTAGAAGGCTGTGCAACTATGACATACAACTATTTACTGGGGCTTTGGGGGGGAAATAAATAAATAAATAAATAAAAATAAAATAAAATGTATGCCTAATTTTATATTAGTCTAAAATGTGTATTCATATTATTTTCAAATAGTAAGTTGTGAATGGTATTTAAAACAAGAATAATTGCTTACTAGATATTTTGGAAATTGATTTAGAGTGACCATAGAAAACTTTAGTAACTCTAAAATCTATTTGCTATGGTAAATACCATTCAAATGTGAAGAGCAGGCATCTTTAAGAGTAAAATATTCTGACTGTACATGAGAATGTACAGTATTTTAAGTATTTTAAGCTTAAAACATGGTAATAATAATTTTCTAACATACTAAGTACTTTGTATATAAATTTGCAAATTCTTACAACATTGTTGTGAGCCTATTAATGTATGTGATTGTTGCTTTTTTTTTTT